GACTGATTTTATTATGGCCAAGACAAAAATGCCATCTATGAAACAAAGCATAGAATCTACAGAGGCAACATTCATCTATAATCTGGCAACTTTTTATCGCCGCTCGATAAACAGACAACAAACAAGCCGCCTTTTTGTTGACCTAGTCAGAGGTGCGTTGTTACGTAAAAAAAAGTTAACATTTTATTCTTTTTACAACGCAGAAAAAGCGACATTGAGAGTTGAATTGATGCAACACGTTTATGGGGTTAATTGTTTATCTCATGCACAAATTTTGAAGTGGTGTTAACGATTCAGAAGCCGTGTGGAAATGATTACTAATGCACCTAGAGCTGGACGTCAAATTTATATTTGTAATCTGGTATTAATAGAGAGACCATTCATAACATTTTAGTGCAAGATTTTGGTAAGGAAAAAATTGTTTGCCGGTTTGTACCACATTCGCCCAATGACCAAAAACATCAGTGTGTTGAGAGTAACCAAGAGACATAATCAAAACAAGAATTTTAGCCCCAAAACGAGTGTGTGTTCTTAGCCTTCCACCCTATTCCCCAGATTTGTCTCCCTGTGATTATTTTCTAATCCAAAAATTAAAGTTACCATTGAAAGGACGCATATTTGATGATATTGATGACATCCAAAGAGCCGTAACATCGACTTCAAGGGCCATAACAACAGAAGAACTACACAGATCGTTCCATTGTTTGTTAGATCGTGGTACTCACTGTTTCAATGCACAAGGAGCTTACTTTGAATCAGATACAGGTTACATCTTTAATTGTTGATTATTTTAATTTCTATGGAATTAGTCTCATTACTTAATTGTCGGACTTTGTATTACTTGACAAAAAGAAAGTGAAAACAGTTTTTGAGACTGGATAGAGCCAAACTTGTTGCTAAATTTCGCGTGTGTGATCATAGATACTTACTTACGTCCTTTTCAGGACGTAATTTTTTGTTATTTGAAGCCCCACTCCGGCTTTTGCCAGGTCCCGCAATAAAGGCAGGCCATCAATATAGCCAATTATTTGAACGCGGTTTCTGGGACCTCTCCACGGCGATCCTCATCCGTATGGTGGCACTTTGTGTCATCGGGTGTTTATCGCTTGTGTGATGTCCTAGTGGGGTAGAAAGTCAGTCAGTCAGTGTGATCATAGTGGTATAGTAATGAAACTTATTTTTCGTCCTTTTTAGGACGAAATTTTTTGTTATTTGAAGCCCCACTCTGGCTTTTGCCAGGGGCCGCAATATAGGCAGGCCATAAATATGGCCAGTTGTCTGAACGCGGTTTCTGGGACCTCTCCACGGCGATCCTCATCCACATGATGGCGCTTTGTGTCATCGGGTGTTTGTCGCTTGTGTGATGTCCTGGTGAGGTAGAAAGTCAGTCAGTCAGTGTGATCATAGTAGTCTTTTGTTGTCTTCCTGAAATAAGAGGGGGTTAGGTATGTCATGCTGATATTTATGAATGATAGGTTGAGTCTCTCAGTGATTTGAGCTGTGATTTGTCATATTGAAGTCCGGATATGGGTGACTGGGTTGGTGAATGGGCTCTGCTGTACATAAGTAAAAGGTTCTCTGCAACCTTGTAAAACTAGGAGAGTCAAATCAGTGGATGTCTAATTCAACGAGGTAAACACTTTTAAGTGTCTGACCGATTATTATAATATATTTATTTCCATTCGTGCTTTTTTTTTTTTTAGAGATGTCGTTTTTAAACCTGAGGGCTATGGGGCGGGGGGGGGGGGGGGGGGGGGGGGGGGGGGGGGGCACTTTAGTAGTACAGTCTAGTTTCAAGAGGGATGGGGGAGTAATTTTGAAACTGAGTGCACTTGTACTTGAAAATAATGTTATTCTATTTTTTTTCAGCCTAATTAGAAAGAAAATATTTTGTAAACTTTATTTAAAATGATATCCACCGACACACTGATTTATGCGGATGTCTTTTTGTGTGTACAAGTTCTTGTTAACAGTAAAAGAGAGGGGAAAAGAATGGGGAGGGGGGGGGGCGGACTCTTGCCATCTATTCGAAGGAGTTGCCATCTTAAAAAATGTTGAAAACCACCGTTATAGAGTAAAAGTGCTCTCTCTTATCCTTAGTCTGTACATAATTGGCAGGCACATTCTTTGCTGATCACTGGCAACTGCATCTTTCAGCACCATTTAATAGCCAATTACAGGTTTGTAGTTAATGTGATATATTGTTTTGTGGTTACCTTCCGTTAGTTATATTATCAGAGGAGCTGCTGATGAGAACGCAGGGCTCTCGTGAGGAAGACCCGGGGTCGAATCCTGTGTAAAAATGGGTTGTGGGGTGGGAGAGAGAGAGAGAGAGGGGGGGGGGGGGGTGCTCTTTTCTGATGGAGACAACAATAAAAGCCTCACTTGCACAGTCCATGGCAACTGTACTAACCATGAATCTGTATATTATCAGGCTCAAAGAACCCCCCCCCCTTTTTTTTTTAACCCCCCCCCCCTTTCCCCCCAAGCACATTTCCCACCTACATGGCAAGCGTGGTAACGGCAGGCAGTTTTCTTCAAGGTGTTAACCTTATTGTATGTTTGATAATACTATCTTACTTTTGTTTGTAATACTATCTTACTTTTGTTTGTAATACTATCTTACTTTTGTTTGTAATACTATCTTAATTTTGTTTATAATACTATCTTACATTTGTTTAAAATACTATCTTACTTTTGTTGATAATACTATCTTACTTTTATTTGAAATACTATCTTACTTTTGTTTGTAATACCATCTTACTTTTGGTTGTAATGCTATCTTACTTTTGTTTGTAAAACTATCTTACTTTTGTTTGTTATACTATCTTACTTTTGTTTGTAATACTATCTCATTATTTGGTCAGTATTACTATTTTAGTTGTGAATATTACTATCAGTGTAAAGGCAATTTTACTATTTTTTTTTCGTTTGGTCTATTTCTTTTCCGCATTGAATGATCCACATTGCTATGTTTCTGTTTGCTCAATATAACTGTCTAATCTCTCTCTCACTCACTCAAACACACACACACACACACACACATACACAAATATGATATGCTCTTGAATATTCAGTAAAAGGGATAAGAATCTATTTACCATTTTCTGATATCCTAATTTTACATTTTGTTCTAAATTCATAATCTGATCCTATGTGTAGAGATTTTTCGCGAATCCTGATTGATTTATGTCATGTATGTATAGTGTTGGTTTGCGATTGATTTTTTTAAAATTAATTTCTTATCATCTATTGTCACCCGTAGTTTGTTTGAGCGAGGCGACAGTATAATTGTTCTGCACGACTGCACTGCGCCTCCAGAACCGTATCAGCTGTATGAAGTTTGAACAACGGATCAACATCATGACACACAGGTAGTAACCCCTAAGTGCTCAGTTCTTTCTTCTAAACCAAGTCTAAGTCCGGAAAAGCTCAGCACAGTGCACAGGCTCTGTAGCAACGGCGAGGTTGTTGAAATACTTTGGGTACATTTTTAACTCCAAATTTTGACCGGGCAGCGCATTTATGCTAATCTTTTTTATTTCCAGCTGCCAAAGAATTTTTTACGTGCGCAGAAATGCACACGGGCGTCCGATCTCACTACCCAGAGGCCACTTGGAGAAATCCCAGCGCTTACTGGGGATTGAACCCGAAACCTCTAGCACTCAAGGCAAACACCATGCCTCGAGACCATGCATATCCCCGTATTAGCTGTAAAGGTAAAGCAACCTCAGCCACGAGCTATGGATTAAACCCCAAGACTACTAACGTTATTTTAGGCCAGCTCACTAAACACTTTGTCAACGTGGCAAGTAACAGACTAAACATTTAATGAGTCCTTTTCTCGACAATGGTGCCCAGGCATATGGTTTTAGAAACATATTTCCGTTGACTAACTGGCTCATATTTCAAATGCTTAAGGAAAGTAATGAACTTGAAATGGAATGAATTCAAGAGGCGTGAAGACATAAATGAAATGTATGAGCAACCACTGGTAACAACAGTTACAAGACAGAGAAGATTGGACACATTCAGATAAGAGGCGAACACAGAATCACCTAACTGACACTTACATGGGAAACACAGGGATTAATGAAAAGAAAAACGTGCAAGAGAGACCTTGAATGCAGAGAAAAGCCAGAAGTTGTGGACTGGATTCCATCGACGATACTGAAGCCAGAAATCAGCAGTCTGCATACGAATAAGAAAGATATGTAAAAAGGAAGTGCATGCAAAACTGAAGTTATGGAAAAATACTAAGGCCCAGAAATGGACAAACAGCCATAACTTTCCACCGGAGTTTACGTCGGGTGAAAGCTAAGAATAAAAAAAAGAAGAATAATCAGCTCCTATTGAGTGATGAGGTTAACATGACGTGTGTGGCAAGTAACACGAAAAGAAAAAAAAAATATTCACTGAGTGATGAGGGTAACATGACGTGACAAGCAAGTAACACTAAATGGAATAATAACCAGGTTCACTAAGTGTTGCGGGTAACCTGACGACTAAGGCAAGTAACAAGAAAAACGATAATAACCCCCCCCCCCTCCCATCCCCCGCCCCCACTGAGTGATGAGGGTAACATGACAAGAGAGCAATTAACAAGAAAAGAAATAATAACTAGCTTAACTGAGAGATGAGGGTAACATGACATGTGTGGCAAGTAACAAGAAAAGGAATAAATACCAGCTTCACTGAGTGATGATGAGGGTAACATGACGAATGAGGCAAGTAACAAGAAAAGGAATAATAACCAGCTTCACTGAGAGATGAGGGTAACATGATATGTGTGGCAAGTAACAAGAAAAGGAATAATAATTAGCTTAACTGAGAGATGAGGGTAACATGACGAGTAAGGCAAGTAACAAGTAAAGGAATAATTACCAGCTTCACTGAGAGATGAGGGTAACATGACGAGTAAGGCAAGTAACAAGTAAAGGAATAATTACCAGCTTCACTGAGAGATGAGGGTAACATGACGAATGAGGCAAGTAACTTACCTATAAACTGGGTCTTGGTGGGGCTGAACAACTTCCGATCTGGCTGACCAGCAGCCATTAGCTTTATTCTTCCCCGAATACGATGATATATGTAACGACGATAACGATGACGACAAGGTAGACAACGAAAATGACGGTGACAAAGATGGCGATGTTATAAGACGAGAAATTAACGCCGAACGACCGTGACCATCTCCTTGGAACGCTTCCATGGTAAAATCCAACACATCTCTTAGAAGTTCTTTAGCCAAAACGTCATGGTTGACTAGAAATGCTTTAGTTCCCAAGGGGAAATCCCGAAGTATGTTTTCACTTCTGGTGTAGGCATTTTCAGTGATAATCCAAGCAAAACGGATTTGCTTTGGTAGGACGTGCTTTGCCGTGACAAAAATGCGTCGGGCTAACGAGGCAGTGGCGTGTAGTACAAATATCCGAGAGGTGTTGAAAATTACAGATTCAAATGATGCATTCAAAGCCACGTTTGAGGCGCCCTTAGAGATAAAGATTTCATCCTCTATCTTCCATTTGCCGTTCTTGGTTAAATCCCTGAAATGGAAGTAAATATTCAGCAATGCATTGAATTAACAGCTACAGTAATTACAACTCACACAATAATGTTTTGTTAATATAGGAAAAAAAAAAAATACCGTGTCAAAAATAATTTTAAATCTAATGGGAACATGTAAAGAAGCAAAACTAAAAACAAGCTTATGTAAACGTTTGCAAACATGCTCAAAGGCAAGAATGCGTGAACAAACCTACCTAACAATTTCGTTGTTTTTTCATTTCCATCTTTGCAGAAGATCTGGTAAAACAGGCAAAGACAGACTAAAGAAAATGATAGTGGATGGCTCAAGACAATGGCAATGAGGAATATCATCAGTGGGACTGATCCAGAACACCAAAGACCGATATATGTGGAGATGCATGAACGCCTACGCCAGCTGGCTTGATGATGATGATGATGATGATGATGATGATGATGATATTCTTTGCAAACGACACTGTTATATTTTGTTATAAAAAGGCATAGAAATCATTCCCTCAGCGGTAATGAATGATTAGTATTAGTGAGGACTATCATCACAGCACTCCGGACAGACACACGGGTGCCCCGATCTCCTCATAATTAGCTACGCAAGAGTAGAAGGATTGATCACACACGTTCTGTGTTGAATAATCACACATCTTGTGCCCTTAGTAATATGTCCCGATCTCCTTATAATTAGCTCAGCAAGTGTACAAGGATTGAACACACACGTTCTGTGTTGAATAATCACACGTCTTGTGCCCTTAGTAACATGTCCCGATCTCCTTATAATTAGCTCCGCAAGTGTACAAGGATTGAACACACACGTTCTGTGTTGAATAATCACACGTCTTGTGCCCTAAGTAAACAGTCCATGCCTAGCTGCTACAGTCTGCACCCACAAATCTACAACTTGTATCCGATTTGTGACGTCTTCAGACCGACCTCTTTACTTCCCAGAATATTACCTGGAACCCATTTTAGGCTACAGCATTGTTTTTTCATAAATCTGATACGAAGAAGGTTTAAACTCAAGACTACCGGTTATGCAAGACCATTCAGGTTATACTAAAACTTCGGCATTCTTATATCATGGCTTTCCATTATAGGTCACAACGCGTCCGCACATCTTTGCCAGAATTGTTGAGAGCAAACATTTGGTTTTCAGGCGTGAAAAATTCTCCTGTTCTTGTCCTGTCAAACTTTCATAACGAAGAGTAATCCTTGATAAACAGAGACTCACGAACTTCCAGAGATTCATAACCGCTAACGTCTACGATCAGTATTTCATAAAACATAATCACAACATCAACAACAACAACAAAAAATAGTCCTTTCTTGAACATTACTGTTAGCAAACTATTAATCCATATATCTTCATTATATTCTTGTCTACATGAGAAAACCGTCATTGTTTAATAACAGATGGGTAGAAAATGTCGAGGCCTGCCTCTACTACGATAAAAAGATGTATGCAAGCGGGACATGAATGATATATGTACTGGGGTAGATTCAGGTAACAAAATACCATGAACCATGTTGCCTGGAGAGCGCAAATCAGGAAGGGTATAAGAATGAAGGAATAAATGACTGCAGTAAGGAGAGAGCTCAGCGTCTTAAAAGAAACACAATAAATATCTATGATGAGAGCAACGACCCTGAAATCCCAAGTATACATTGTGGAAGACAACAACGATCCTGAAATCCCAAGTATTCATTGTGGAAGACAACAACGATCCTGAAATCCCAAGTATTCATTGTGGAAGACAACAACGATCCTGAAATCCCAAATATTCATTGTGGAAGACAACAACGATCCTGAAATCCCAAATATTCATTGTGGAAGACAGCAACGATCCTGAAATCCCAAGTATTCTTTGTGAAAGACAACAACGATCCTGAAATCCCAAGTATTCATTGTGGAAGACAACAACGATCCTGAAATCCCAAGTATTCATTGTGGAAGACAACGACGATCCTGAAATCCCAAGCATTCATTGTGGAAGACAACAAAGATCCTGAAATCCCAAGTATTCATTGTGGAAGACAACAACCATCATGAAATCCTAAGTATTCATTGTGGAAGATAACAACGATCCTGAAATCCCTAGTATTCATTGTGGAAGACCTTTCTTAAAGCTGGTTGGTCCTGCTAGTCACTCTCGCCACCCCATGAGCGGTGAGTTCCATTTTTCCCAAAACATAATACTATCGTCTGGAAAGACGGAAAAGTACAAACATTTTTTCTCTTCGCCTTATTTCAGATTTATAGTTTGCCAGTGGTCACGCTGAAGTTTATATTTATCTCGTATCGTGACTTGCTTCAAACAAATTCCTGTTAGTTAATTTCCTGTGTTTAATCAATTTGCGTTTTGCATCCACTCATCACAAGTTGACAATGTTTATTACTTCCGTCCATTCATTGTCTTGTTTGCTGTTCATTCAAATTCAATGCAGCCGAAATCTATATTCTTCACAACTAAAACACTTATCCGGGATTCGAGATCGTGTAGCGCTAGACGCTGGCTTAATGTTTCGATAATCGCGTATTCCACTTTGCATCGTGTCAGATTTGTTTTTCACATTGACATCAACTCTTAAATCGACAAAGTCTTGAATGGATACCAGATAAATGTCTAGTAAGTAGAGGTGGCGGTATTGATGTTAACCGCATTAGCCTTCAAGTTTCGATGGGTCTACAACAATAATGAGTTTAGCATCGTAAACCCGATTCGCCGCCATATTGTGATTGGTCCATTACAAACCTGTTAGTTTATCAAAAGCCAAGCGTAAACGTTACCACAACAGACTTATCATCACACTTACCTACCACACTCACAACATCCATGCCAAAGATATTTTCCTCAGGCATCTCTCCATCCTTAGGGCTGACCATACCACAAGCACGATTCTCTCTGAACTTTCTCTAGTGGTCTACAAACATAACCGTAACCTCAAGGACATTCTGGTCAAGAGTTGATTACGTCCTTCGTCTGAGTCCTACTTCGGCGCGGCCTCTTGCCACAGACCTGTATGGAGGACCTGTCTATTTGTGGTCCAGGCAACCAGTCTAAAATTCCAAAATGCCACCTTCCACATGCGTGAAGCATTCTATTGCACTAGCCGCAATGCCATTTACGCTACCAACTGCAAGAGATATGGCATGATATACACTGGTGCAACAAATTTACGACTGGCTGACAGGTTCAGACAGCATCTTTTGGATGTGCAGAACGGTGCCCTGAAACTAGTACCGTTGCACTTCAATCCCAAGGATCACCAAGGTGTCCACGACATGGAGGAGACAGCCATTAAATCTAGCCCAGCGACAGAGTCTGTAAGTCACTTGAAAATCGCATTATTTACACTTTGGGAACTTTGACACCCTAAGGTCTGAACGGTCAACAGTTTTATTTTAAATTCTCGAGTTACGGCCCTTAGCATTCTATGGGTATTTATTCTCTGGTTCAGTGTGTTCTTTTCATTGCACTGTCAAGACATCCTCGTGGCTGCATCTGGATAACTGAATTAAGTGAGTGTGTATATTCGTGTGGTTTTGTTTGATTTAAGTATATGCTGACGAAAGGCTCTATAGCTCCATCGTTCACATTTTGTATGTGTTAGTTATTTTGTGAAGCTCGCTAAAATACTTTTTGCTCGGTTTTATATCTTTCCTAGTTTATTAAAAACGTATCCAGAGCAATTTCCACTTCGAAGGTTGGCGGTTATGAATCATCAGGGGCGAAATCATAAGTATTCCTCTGTAAAACCACATTTATGAGTCCTCAATAAATTTTGGGCTTGATTATTAATAACCCACTAACAACAGAAAAGTGAATCATGTACAGATGATAGGTTAGCGAAAAAATTGTTTTTAAGCTGCGGAGATGTGGTTTTATAGGGGGATGATAAGAACAAACTGGACAGATAAAAAGCGAAATGAAGATGTCTAGCAGGAAGCTGACTCAGGAAGAGAACTGACTGCCCACATCAGAAAGAGACGATCTACATTCTTTGGTCATGTGATGGAAAGGAGAAAGCTGGAGTACATAGTGACAGAAGAAAAGTGTGAAGGGAAGAAAGGCGGAGGGAAACTTAGAGAAAAGATGCTAGATAGTTTGACACCATGGCATGGAGGATCATCTGGATCAAATTTGACTGAAAATACACGAGACAGAAGGTTAACCTTAGGAGGTAAACAGTGGAAGCAGAGAAGAAGAAGAAGAAGAAGAAGCATATTTTAGTGGAACAGATTCAAATGTAATTTAATTATACGATGATGTAACTAAAGTGATGTTCATGTTGAGACATACTGGAATACGAAAGTCAAGAAAACGTCTAATGTGTTGTTCATGTCGGCATTATTGAAATACCTGAATGTGTTGTAGAAGCCATCATGTCGAAGCTCTGTTTGTGTGATGATGGTCAGTCTGAACCAGAAGTTGGCCGACAGTAAACTGACCAGTCCTCGAGCCAGGTGTTTGTTGGACGGCTGGAGACTGAGAAACAACGGGTTGTGCACCTGGGGGATGGAGAGAGAAAATAACATTAGCAATGTTAGTTTGACGGTCTTCCTTCTTCACATTATAGGTTAGTTGCGTATCTTTTACAGAAGGTTGCAGAACCAACTCCAGCAGCCCCAGGCTGTTGTGTGGTTTTTCTAGGCAAATTTACGTCCAGTAGTTTGCTACTGCCTCTGGACGGTCGGCTTTCTTGATACCACTGTCGAAACCAACGCAAGGCTGCTCGCTGCTGGGATCGAACCCGGCATCCCGGAATTACGAAGCGTTGGCATCGACTCAGCCACAGAGCCGACCTTCACATTATATATCTATTAAATAGTTGTTTTATGATCTTCTTTTTTCACCCTATATATCAATTGAATACTTGTTTTATTACCTTTTTTTAAAACCCTATATATCCGTTAAATACTGGTTTTACGACTGGCTTCTTTTATCCTGAATATTCATTAATCACTTGTTTATGGTCTTTTTAACCCTATATATCTATTAAATAC